GCTGCATGTAATTAAGAACCTGGCTGGCAGAGGAGGACTGAAGCTGGGTCAGTTTGAACTTTTCCTAATCTGACTTTTCTGCTGCCACCTGCTGATGTTGAAGTTATAAAAATGACATAAAGGAAAATAAGACAAAATCCTCATCTGCTTGAAAGAGCTTACATGCCTGGTGGTGGTAGAGGTGGGGTGTATGAAAGATAGAATGGGAGTGAATGGGTGCAAGTCACATGCACCCATGAGATGGTGACGGGCTTCTATGGAGAGCAGAGAAGGCCACGCCTCATGGCCCTGGGAGGAAGGGTGGCCAAAGAGGGCTTCAGAGAACAGGTGATGATGGATGAACTACATATTGATGTGAGCCCAAGCTTCTCTGATGGCTGGAGGGAGGCAGAATATGCTAGTTGGGGGAACAGCGTGGACAAACCTGGGCCTGTGGCAGGTGGCTGAAGTGCCAGCATGTGAGATGGAGAGCTGGGAGACCACCCTGGAGCGAGGCCAGGTGATAAAGCATCTTGTTTACTGTTAAGGAGCCTGAATCTCTCTTTTGGACCAAAAGGAAAGGGCTACTAAGTGTAAAGTGAATGTCACCAACCAGAAAAGCTGGTTGCAAGGGAGTCTTCCAGTCCAAATGAGCATCTAATTGGGAAGAAAGAAAGTTCCTGTGTTTGGCAGATTAAACAAGCACCTTGATTTAAAGTTCAGTTTAGTGCCAGTACTCCCTCCCATGCCACCATACCTCCCCATTTGGTTTGGTTTCTTTAGTCCAGGTTACAGTGGGGTCTCTTCCGATGCGGTCATGAGTGCTATCCTCTTCTCTCTGGCCTGACATTTGGGACTAGAGCCAAGCCAGAACGCCGGGGCCAGGCAGGACATTGAAAACTATGAGTCCCCAGACCACTCTGCCAGATCAAGGCGCAGAGAGGGATCAGAGCCTGCAGGGGAAGTACTTCAGCTGCTTTCCACAGAACATCACCTGCCTCCCCATTAATGGGCTAAGGTTAATGGGAGTATTTCCTTGGGGTCTGGCTCACAGAAGGGAGCCTGCCCTGGACCAGGCCCTGGGGGAGCAGACCTGAGAGAGGGGCCATGCAACTCACTTTCCCCCCTCCAAGAGGGCAACCTGGCCTGGGCCTCAGGTGAGTGACTCCTGACCTTCCCCGCTCCCTCCTCCCCAAAGTGGAACAGAGCGATGTCAGTCCCCACACATCTGCATCGCAGCTCCCAAGCGTCTCAGGCAAAACTGCGGCATCCACGCACTCCCCTTGTCCTGATATTTACCTCCGAATGCGATCGCGGCAGATGCCAAGCTGAGCAGCTCACAGGTAACTTGACCCTCGCCTCAACGACCTCAGAGGCGCCCAGGCCTGCCCGCCCCGGGGTGCTAAGCCTCCTGCCGTCCTTTGTGGAGACCCAGACCCAGCTGTAATTAAGTTCTTCCTGACGGGCCGCCAGGTGCGCCCTTTGGCGGGACCGTGCTAATTCCAGCCCCCTTTCCAAGCACGTCCGCCCTTGCGCCCAGCCCCTTTCTGGAAGCACCCCCCCCCCGCCCGCGCCTCGCCGCCCCCCTGCCCGCCGCCCCCCTCGCGGGTTGAGCTGCAGAAGCGCTGCCTGAAAGGTCACGTCTAAGCGCCCACCCGGAGAGCCCAGCAGGTATATAAGGACAGAGGAGAGCCACGGACCAAGCGCGGCGAAGGAGGAGAAAGGGGAAGAGAAGTGACCGAGAGAGGTCGCCGGGCATCTTCGCCCCCAAAGAGCAGCCTCCCGGCGACAGGTAAGGGCGCCCTTCCCCCGGGACCCCTGCCCGGCCTCGGGATGCTCTCGGCCGGCTCAGCCAGCTCGGAAGGGGATCCTGAGTTCTTTGCAAACTTTCGGTGCCGCCTGCGGCGTCCAAAGTCGCCCAGCGCAGAGAGACTCAGGCCTGCGTCCGGTGCCTTCCTGGGGGCCGGCGGCCTCGGCTCCCCCTGGGGTGGCCGCCGTCCGGGGTCGCGGCGCTCGGGCGGGCAAACCGGTCGGCGGGCTGCGAGGAGCCCCGAGACTCCGACCGCCTTCGAGGGAGACCGCGGTCTTTTGACTCCTCTCGCTCCAGATGTTCGGGAGAGGTGTCACTTATTCCAAGTCAGGTATCGTATACTCCAGCGCAAATTCACGTTGGAAATGGGAGCAGGAGAGAAAAGGCTAGAAGTCACAACAGACTCCCTGCATTCCAGATTTTTTTGAATTCAGACCCCGGAATCTTCGTTCCCCTGCCCACCTTAGCGCACCTGGAGAGGCCGCGCTCTGATGATTACTGGATTCTTGGGTCGATTACAGGACTGGCCAGTCGGGTCCCTCCTCTCTAAGACCCAGCTGGGGTTAAAAACAGGTGGCGGGGTGGGAACTGTCCAAGGTCCTGAAACGCCGGGTCTAGTTTCGGAAGCCCTCAATGGGACCTCAGGGCAGACTGTTCATCCCGAAAACCCTGGTGGGTTGCCGGCGCCGGGAGCCTTTGAACTGACCAAGGCTCAGGCGAGGGGCGTTTCCAGTGAAGGAGAGACAGTCCGCTGGGACTGTGGATCCCCAAATTCTTCATGTATAAATGGGGCTGGGCTGGTTCTCACAGTATGGCTGGAAGGAGCCAAGGAAAATAACAGCATGTGTTTGTTTTGTCAGTTCATAAGATATGTACAGATGATGGCTAATTTAATGACAATATTTCTTTCACACTTCTGCTATAGGACTTGACACGTGTGTCATGGTGCAAAGACAAAACTCTGCATCTCTGCTCCTCTCATCCTTACAGAAGGGCATGGACAGTGTGCAGTTTTTGAGTAACAAACAAAATGTTTTGCTTAGTTTGTAGAGAGTTCCCCTACACGTATGAAGTTCTAATCAATGTGGCTCTATTATGAAGTTAATGTAAAGATTAACAAATTGCAAGTTTCTATTTTCCCATGGGTTTCAATTATTGGATTATGACACCTACCCTACTTACAAAAAGCACATTTGACATTTCTCCATTAATGTGTTGCTTAAAAACATGACACAAATAAGGTAATATTTGTTCATTGTAGAAGAATGGAAAATACGCATAAGCAAAAAGAAATTGCTTTCAGGAATCCATCTAATATTTTAGCAATAGAATCGAAGCTCTGAGAGGGTGGAAGGGAGCCTGTTGTCACGTTGTACAACGCCAGGGGGGCAGGAGAGGAAATGCTCTCTGGGGGCTTTCCAGGAAGGCCTGAAATTATGATGAAGGCTCTTAGCAAATGCCAATCATTTCAGAATGGTCATCTTTGAGAACTGAAATATAGTTGAGGGGACTGTAAGACCTGTATTTTTTTTAATCTTTCTACTAATATGTTATTTTACACTTGCCTTCAGTGACATAATTACCATTTTTTCCTACTTCTCTTGTAACATCTGGACATTTTATGGACCTGGATGTGCTGCTGTGTGGTCTTAGAGCTTTAATCTAATTGCTCTGTCCACCAAGTTCCGGCTTCGTACTTGACCTGGCACCAGCAGGCTACAACAGGTGGAGACTCTCCCAGTCGCCACTTCAGCAGAGGCGTCGCTGGGCCGGTCACCGGCTGCTAGCGCCACCTAATGGCCGCTCAGAGAATGCTCAGCCGTGGCAGGCCACTGTTCGGAAGCCAGCCCGGAGCTGGCCCGGCTCCCCGCAAATGGGGTGGAGGTGGGGCAGAGAGAAGGAAGTGGCTCCCTGAGGTGCACAATGAAGGCCTGGAGGACTTTCACTTCCAAAGCCTCCCCTATAAAAAAGATTTGGCCCTCGCCTCCCCAAATGAGAGATTTCTTTTAGGCAAACTTATTTTAAAATGCAAATGTTCATTAGGAATGACAAGACACTTACTCATCCACACTTTAATGAGAATTACTTTTCTCATCTAATTAGATTTCTTCCCAGCAGCTGGCTGAGAAGATCTGAAATCCAGAATGGTTGCAGGGTTGGTGATGAGCTGATCACAGACCTCCGGGCGGTTTCAGGGGGCCGACCTGAGTAGGGGAACTTGGTAGAGCTCACTGTGCTGAGAAAGGGGGTGGTGGTGGACACAGGGGCCAAGGGCACCATGGGGTGCTCCCTCCCTACTTCCTCCTGGCCTCCTGACCTCAGCATCTGCCCAAAGGCACTTCCTGGATTCTCTGCAAGTATCTGGCTGCTCACACCCGAAGCTAGTTCCCTTCTGGTCTCCTGTCCATCTCTTTTCCCGAGAGGCCTATGTCCTCTTCAAGTCCAGCTATGTTAGACCACATTTGAGAGACCTAGAGAACAAGAAGTCTGACATGTATTGTGTTCAGAAGATGAGCCAGTTTTAACAGAATTGGGACTTGATTTAAAAATAAATCTCTCCAAAGTTACTGGGCTCTGGGTAGCAAAGATCATCTGAATGATTTATGTATGGGGTATCAATTCAGGTTGCCTGAAATTGTGACTAAATTGGCCAGTGGTTTTATTTGCTTTTATGCAAACCTAATATTCATAGGAAATAGAGTTTCAAAAGAATAATAGGATCCTGATGGAAGAAAAGGGGAAAAGATCACCTTAAGCTGGAATTTCAGAATCCTTTTGTCTTTCTCAAGTGACTCCCATCCCTTGGATCTGGAGTGTCTGAATATTATAGCTTCGTGTAGGTAGTGAAGGAGAAAAGCTCTGTGCTGGGAACAGGAGAACTTAGCTTCTCTTGTCATGAAAACCAAAGTAATTGTCTCTCTCTGGGCTTTGATTTTCCCTATCTCTCAAATGAAGGGCTGAACGAGGTGATCCCCCAAATAGCTTCCAGTCCTAACCTCTTTAGGGATCTCATTTTAACCAGAGATAATGGGATAGTTTACCCAGGTCCCTCTCCCTACCACAACTCATACCACCCTGCACACCTCCCTTCTCCTGAGCACAGCTCCTGTCCTCAAAAAGCCTTGAACTCCACAACTGAGTGTGTTGTTAATGTTGGCTCAAGGTCCTTCCTGGTGAGTGGCCAGCATTGTTCTGCTCCTCGCAGGGGTCCCTCTAATCTTGTTTGCCTCTGCAGAGCCTCAGCCTGTCTGGAAGATGCCGAGATCATGCTACAGCTGGTCGGGGGCCCTGCTGCTGGCCTTGCTGCTTCAGGTCTCCATGGAAGTGCGTGGCTGGTGCCTGGAGAGTAGCCAGTGTCAGGACCTCACCACGGAAGGCAACCTGCTGGTACGTGGGCTATGGCTGCCATCTTGGCTTAATTGTCAGATGGGACTGGGCTGGGATAGCTCAAAGGAAAGGGGTGTGGGGAGGGGGAAATTCATTCCCAGTGGTGGGGTGATCCAACCCAGGGTGGAAGCAGAACTTTGTAGTGAAGTCAGATTTGGGCCAATGAGGGGAGGAAGCAGCTTCAGGGAGATGGGTCTGGTCCACAATTCCTGCTGGATTAGCCTTACTCCCTGCTCTGTCTTCTACAGAGACCCCACACCATTTAAACTATTTAGAGACAGTGGCATAATACCAACAATTGTTACCTCAATCATTCCTATATTTTCAATCTTTCAGCCCCCAAATTATTCCATTTTAAATAACCTCAAATCACTTGACATTTTCACTCTATATTTCTTCTTTTTTTATCTACTACCAGTTACAAAGTCTGCTAGGTAGTTCCACAAATCATCTCTAGAGGAAGAAAGAAAAACCAAGACACCATGTTTTTGTAACTGGTGTCAAATATCTTATGCTTCTTTTGGAGGACTGGTCTTCTGTCAAGTTCCTCTGCAGTCTTTCCAGAAGCAGAGGCCCTTGTGCCAGGCTAGAGTTTCCTCCAGGTCATCCACCACACAGTGTTCGTGTGTGTGTGTGTGTGTGTGTTGGGGGGGGCATAAATGAGAAATGATACCAAGTCCAAGGATTAAAAGACAGTACTGATGTCAGTGACTGAGATTCCATCTTGCTGCCAGCACCTGCCAGGCGAGGGTGGAATGTATGTCATTACATTCTGTATGTTTTGTCAAAGGAGGAGCTGAGTTAAGGTGAAGGGACAGACTTCCTCAAAGACAGAGCAGGTTTTATGTATAATACAAAATAGAAACAAAGAACCCAGGAGATTCTGTGAGTTCCAGTTCAGAGAGACCCAAGAGTTTCTTGATTGGAGACATCCACTGCATAGTCTCTCCTGGTGAGAGCTCACCTAGAAACTAGCACCATAGACAGAACCCATGGGTTCCAGTTCTGTCACTAATGAATGAGTTGTGGGACCTTGACCAGGTCCTTTCACCTCTCTGAGCCTCTTGTTTCATTATCTTTCCAGAGAAGGTGGGTGTAAATTAGATAATTTTTATTTTCCACTGTTAACATTCCATAGTATTATAATTCAAAATCCCTAGAGTAGGAAATTCCCAACTCAGCAGAGTGGGTGGGGTCCTTGTTTTCTCCTCTGCAGTTCCCAGGTCACTGAAAACTCAAGGCTGTAGCCTATGGGTCATTTTCCTAAGCAAATGTGTACCACAGTTGAGTCCTTTAGGGACAGGGAGAGGAGACACAGGCTCCAGGGGGTGTGCAATGGAAATGACCAGAGAAAGAACCAGAGAAAGTGCCTGGTAGGTGCAGGAAAGTTTTGAGGCATAGTGCAGGGATAGGACTTGGGTAGGGCATGAAGTGGGCTTGAAGATTCCAGAGGTAAGGCTGAGGCATTATTGAAAATATGGGCCCTAGAAGCCAGACTTGTGTCACATGGAGACAGATTCTCCCCCAAATTTCGGCAACACCCCGTCAGGGTCTTGAATTAACTCATATGTATTTATTCAGTATTCACCTGCCCTTCTGGGAGCAATTCCTACCTATCAGGCATATGACGGTAAGACGTTGACTCTGCTAAGGAAAGCTATGGGGGGACAGACAAGTAGACCCCTGATTGGGATGGGGGATGTTGTAGTTGCCAGGCAGAAGTATGCAGGGGTACAGGAATAAGAGGCGATGTGCCAGGTGAGTCTTAGGAGATGTCCACCAAGGCCAAGAGGACCGGGTGGGCTGACATGCTCGGCATGGGAGGGGGCCTCGCCACGCGCCATGGCGCCTGTTCCCTGCCGCACGCGGTGAGGGCCCTGGCGCCAGGCCCGGCCGCCCTCACGCCGGCGGCGTCTCCCCCAGGAGTGTATCCAGGCCTGCAAGCTCGACCTCTCGGCGGAGACGCCAGTGTTCCCTGGCAACGGCGACGAGCAGCCACTGACCGAGAACCCCCGGAAGTACGTCATGGGCCACTTCCGCTGGGACCGCTTCGGCAGCCGCAACAGCAGTAGCGGCGCGGGGCAGAAGCGCGAGGAGGAGGTCGCGGCGGGTGAAGGCCGCGTCCCGGTGCCCGCCGGTGGCCCCGGTGCCCGCGGGGATGGCGCCGAGCCGGGCCCGCGCGAGGGCAAGCGCTCCTACTCCATGGAGCACTTCCGCTGGGGCAAGCCGGTGGGCAAGAAGCGGCGCCCGGTGAAGGTGTACCCCAACGGCGCCGAGGACGAGTCGGCCGAGGCCTTCCCCCTCGAGTTCAGGAGGGAGCTGGCCGGCCAGGGGCACGAAGCGGCGCTTGGCCCCGATGACACTGCCGAGCGCGAGGCGGCGCTGGCCGACCTCGAGCACGGCCTGCTGGTGGCAGGCGAGAAGAAGGACGACGGGCCCTACAGGATGGAGCACTTCCGCTGGGGCAGCCCGCCCAAGGACAAGCGCTACGGCGGCTTCATGACCTCCGAGAAGACCCAGACGCCCCTGGTGACGCTGTTCAAAAACGCCATCATCAAGAATGCCCATAAGAAGGGCCAGTGAGGGCGCAGTGGGGCACAGGGCCTTCTCCTCCTGGGAAGTCGACCCTAAAGCCCCCTGCCCTCGCCCACCCTGCTGCTGCAGATATTCAACCTCTTAAAGCTGTCTGTAGTTAAGAAATAAAACCTTTCAAATTTCACATCTGACTCTGTGTAGACTGTGAATAAAATAAACATACATAGCATCAAATAAAAGCAGCATATATTCGAGAGGAAACATAATGGGTTCCACGTGATCAAGTGGTAGAATATTTCACGGGACGTAGATTGTGAGAATGGGAAGAAAATGTACTTCCTCCCCCTTCCCAGTAAGTGGATCTTCTGGGGACCCAATAGTTGGGTGATGGCTCAGGGTGGCTCCAGCACCCCTAGGACGGCTACGTTTTCCACCCTGCTGCACTGAGCGGGAAGGACTGCCCAGCTAGCAGACATGCTAAAAGGCAGGAGTCCTACAGGAGTGAGCTCGCCTCCCGCCCCCAACTCCCGTCCAGCTCCAAAGGCCTGTGGGGTGTCTATTGAGGCCCATCCACACCTGGGAAGGCTCTGGGCTGTCACATGGGAAGCTGTGGTACTACCTCCCTGGCTCTAGTCCTGACTGTTCTAGAAATTTGTGTGACCTTAGGCAAGTTCTCGAACTTCTCCAAGATTTAGTTCTCTCATTTAATCTTCCCTTCCCAGCGTGAGGATTATAGGAGAAAGTGGATGTGATCATTTTTTAATCACTGACAAGCTAAGTGTGAGAGCTGAGAGTTGGAACAGTTCCAGTTTGACTGCACCCCCAGGCTACTCAGATCTTCTCAAACACAGGGTCTCTCTCTCTCACCCCCCCACTCCATGGAGACACACACACATCTGTTTAAATACAACACAACAGGCCGGGCACGGTGGCTCACACACTCTGGGAGGCCGAGGCGGGTGGATTGTTCGAGGTCAGGAGTTCGAAACCAGTCTGACCAAGAGCGAGACCCCTGTCTCTACTATAAATAGAAAGAAATTGGCCAACTAATATATATAGAAAAAATTAGCCGGGCATGGTGGAGTATGTCTGTAGTCCCAGCTACTCAGGAGGCTGAAGCAGAAGGATTGCTTGAGCCCAGGAGTTTGAGGTTGCTGTGAGCTAGGCTGATGCCACGACACTCACTCTAGCCTGGGCAACAAAGCAAGACTCTGTCTCAAAAAAAAAAAAAAAAAAAAAAAAAAAAACACCACAATATACACAGGTGCTTCTTCTAGCCTTTCAAGCTCAAGCCTTGATTGAGGTTCTCTGACCCTCTCTGTTCCTCCCAGCTGTGCCAAAGTTCCTTCCTCCCCACATTACCCAGCTCCACCTCTCCCTCCATAACAGCTTCCTAACCAACTGCTCTCTCCACCTCTAGTCGCTCTCCTCTGCAACCCATCATATGCAAATTCTTCATATTGATGTATACAAAGTCTTGCTTTCCCCACATTCCCTGGTTCAAGAGTCAAAACAGTGTCCTCACCCCAGTTTTCCATCAATTCCAACCCACTACTGGGCATGGCACGCAGGGCCCTTGTCAGCAGTTAGCAGGGCTCACTCTGCTTACCAAACCCTGTTCCCACATTCGCCCACATGAAGGCTCTACCTCACACCTACTGCTCTTCTCACTGTTCTCCATCCTCCTGCACCTCCGCCTGGTGCCCCTGCCTTCCCCTGCCATTTTGAATGCTGCCCTTTTTTCCTTATGAGCCCAGGCTCAGGTCCTTTTCTGCTGGTAAAGTGGTGACCTCTCATTGTCAGTGTCTGTGCAGTCATCCCCCCTGCGCTGGGTGGCAAACTCCTTGCTGCGTGTGTGTCTTGCCCTCTCCTCTCTGGGAAATTCCAAGCTCCTCATGGCGTTTTCACAATGCTGGGGCCGCAGGTTTGCACATTTGTGCACATTTACAAAAGACTCACAGAGATGTATATGTCTACTACATGTATATGTTTACTACAACAGATAGACCAGTGGTCGGTATAGATTCAAGTTGGCTGAGAAGCATTTGTTACACTCACCCTTGCACTTACACATATACTCCTATATAATTTTGATGCTCTGGGAGTTCACAATGAAAGAAAATTGGAATGCACCCTGGGAAGTCCCGATGTGAAGAGAGTCAGAAAGCCAGATTTCTTATGACAAGGTCTCCCCGAGTGTGGGTTACATGAAATGGGCTAGAACGAAGAATGGCCCAGGTCTTCCTAACCGAGGATGCTCCCCTGCTGGGTATCCTGCGCCCTAGGTTCCCATTCTGGTGGCAGCCTCTCCCCTACACCCCCTCTCCGCTGAGGCAGGTAGAGTGATGGTCATGGGGGTGGCTAAATGTCAGTGGTACCGGGTTGCCATTTTCAGATTCCATTTGCATCTCAAAAAACCATTTACTTTAAAGAAATCAAATAGACAACCATGTGGTGACAACATTAACATTTATTTGAAAAGGGCATCACAGAGGCTCATTGGGAAATCACGACTAATAGTCCTAAAGAATGAGTGTGCTAAGAGTCCTTCTACCTACACTTCTTCCCACTCCCCTCTTTCCCTAAAATAAAACAAATGTGATTCAATGAGTTTGAAATACAGAAAACTGCCACAGGCACTAATTCTGCACTCACATATAAATACATCAGCTATTATATACATATATTGTCAACTACAAACTACATTACACACACATGCACACACATGAGCATGTACACACTCAGCCAGGCTGTGAAGGTCTAAATGGACACAGGCACGTTACACGTCTGGGCTGCAGCATTTGCGGATTTACAACCCTGCACTCCCCAGAATCGACAGTCATGGAGGAAGAGCTCAAAGGGGCAGGAGATGGGCTGTGAGGCCCCATGGTCCCTGAAGGAGAGGAGACCTGGTCAACCAGGTGGTGCTAAAGGACAGCACAGAAAACTGCCCCAACATGGCCACAAAGCACTTCCCGCTCCCCAGTCTCTTTCCACTTCCCCAGCTAGCTAGGACAGGCCCGCCATGGCCATCCCTCCTCAGACTTCTAGAGTGAATGGGACAATGCAGCAACAGGCTGCCCTAAACCTTCTCCCCAGATGTGAGGATGCCTTGTTCTAGCACAGCCTGCCTGCCAGGGTCTGGGGTCATGGGAAGTGAGCATGGCCTGCCCTGATGAGATGACCTCCCTGTCTACCTTTAAACCTGATACTCAGCCTAACAGCCCAAGTCCAGCTCTTTCCCATGGGCCCCCAGCTGGCTGGCTGCCACTTTCTGGTCATGAAGAGGATTTGGGAAAAATAGCCTCACTCTCAATAGCCAGGTTGGAAGGCAAGTGGAAGGCATCGACCCAGGGCCCCTATAAGAGCCCACAGGTCTGGCCCTTGGGCCATTGAAAGGAGCCCCAAGGCTGTTTGATTCTAAGTCCAGTCAAAACATGTTCCATGGGATCTGGAACACGCCAGGCAAAGGGGAGCACAGACACAACACTTGTGCTTCTTCAAGTACTTCAGTGGGTCCCAGGCCCACCGTCTCCTGCTCATCCACTTACATCTGTGTACAGGGGTGGGGAAGCACACAGAGAGTATCTGAGACTTTTTGGTTCTTGTTCTGTCCTGCTCGGGCTCTTTGTCTGGTGAGGAGGCCATTCAGGAGTCAAGAAAACACTTATTTCTGCTTTTCAAAGAGAGAAAGATGGAAACAGGACCCATTTTGAGGAAAACAGCAGCAACCCACAGGACCGCGCTGGCGCTTTCTGCCCGTCTGCTGCTCGTGCATCCATGTGACTCGGCCAAATCAACAGGCTCTCCAGATGTCAAATGCAATCCTGCCTGCTGAGTTCTGCCAGCAGAGTGCTACCCGTCCTGCCCCTCCCCACAAAGCCAGTCCTCGGTGGCTCTGGGGAGCAAACGGTCTGCATGGGCTTGCTGGCTCCTCTTGGTCAAAATCACAACAGAGAAGGAAGGGTGCTGCCAGATGCCAGGGGCCTTGGAAGGCAGGACATAGTGCTGCCAGACCAAGGGCCTGGCACCTTCCTCCCGCTAGATCCCATCAAAGTCGGCTTTACCCCATAGTAAAGGGATTATTTAATTTTCCATTCGAGTCACCTTAACCTTTCTGATTCTGAGGTGTGGCCAGAATCCAGGTTTTACTCCATGTCAGCAGGCAACCTGTTATTCTACTGAGTGTAAGTTTGAACTGAAACTGAGAAGAGGGCACTCAAAAAAGAAAAAGAAGAAAAAGGCCAGTCTTCCCAAAGCAGCACGTCCTTGCCAGGCAGCGGTGCCGCAGGAAAGGCTGCCCTGCAGAGATGGAAAGGAAACAGCAGTCGGGTCTGCGCAGAATGGGAACCTGGGCTTTTTATTTTCTCTCTATTCCCAGGGTGGGGAAGAGGGACAGAGACAGCTGGGGGGCGCTGCAGTCTCTGATTCTAATGTGGGTTCTAGAAAGATGTTCCAGGGAAGTGACTCCCAAGTTCAAGAGCCCCACAGGCCGTGCTCGGGTGAAGCTGCCATGGGGGCGGACGCTGACATGGAGCAGGCACGAGAAAGAGACAGAAGGTCTGGTGTGAAAGCGAGCATATGATGAAACACGGGAGCCTCCAGGGAGGAAAGGCATGTTTGTTCCTCAAGATTTAGATTTTCTTTAAAGTTTCTTCCAAAGGTTATTTGCCTTCAAGTTTGTTTAGTTATTTTAAATTTGGTTTCTTAATATGGAAATATTAAAGAGAAATCTAAGTTCATGCTTTTAAAGTTGGGCTCAGCATAAGCCAAAAAGCCATAAAGCATACCCAAAAAGCCACGGGGGCGGGCAGGAGCCTCCACGCCTGGGCCCTGCAATCACACAGGCCACCTGGCAGCCAAGTGCCCACAGCACCGAGACGGTGACCAAGGGGAAGAACTTCATCTGAGGTGTGGAAACTGTAGCAGTGAGGGTCGGATAACCCCTCTCCCCAGGAAAATTATTGTGCATGTAGTGGGAAGTGCGTGTGCTAAGGTTCTCCTTGATTCTGGAAAGTACACCCATCTGTCCTAGTAACCGGGCTCTCGCTGTGCATCAGTGGGACCGAGTGTACCGCACGCAGGGCTGTGATCTGACGGTGTGCTAAGAAGCCTGCCCTCCTCGTAGCAGAAACTAACCGCTTCTGGCCCCAGGCACGCTGCCTGAAATTGTACTCTAAAAGGGGATTCTCAGCTGCTCAAAAGGCTGAGATGGAAGGATTACTAGAGCCCAGGAGTTCGAGGCCAGCCTGGGCAACATAGAGACCCCATCTCTAAAAAATTAAATAAAATTCCTTTGGGTCAAGAAATGTACTCACTCTCTGCCTGTTTACAAAGCAAACCCTCCAGGGAAGGGATATTTGACCATTCACACCTTACTGAGTTATGTGGGCTCAGGAAAGTCGTGGGGAGTTTGACTGGAGGAGAAGGTAGGGCCACCTGGGACCACAGCGTGCTGCCACGGGAGGAGGCCCAGCTGAGGTTCTGCCGGGGGTGCCCTGGGAAGCCCTGGCTCTGTGTCATCTCCTTTCTGCACACACTAGTTACACAGAGACAGGGGATGTGGGCCGGCCTCCCCTCTGTGCCTCATCTAGAACCACATTATCGTGTTCTGCCTTCCCTCAACCCAGAGGCTCCGGGAAAACCTTGGGACCCTCAGAAGAAAGAGACCCGAGAGAAAGAACCCAACTCAGAAAAACGTCCAGAAGGCAGAGAACCAAGGCAGGGCTGATGACAGCTCCCTCTGAACAATGCAGGTGAGAAGATGCTACAGCGGGACGGGGACTCGCTCTATCCCCGCTGCCTGCACCCCGTCCCCGTGCCACCCCCGTGCTGTCTCTGCCCAGCTCCTGTTATCAGGGCTCAGCATTAATTAACAGTGGAAAGAAATGTGAATGGATAACTGGAGAGTGAACGAGAAAGTGGGAGACTTGAGCAAAGACTTGAGCCAGCGGCAGGGGGTGCTCGGATAAGAGCAGCCGTCCCCTCTCCCAGCTCTCGCCCTGCCACTTCTTTCGGAGGGGAGCTTTCCTTGGTTCCTCCTGAGTACAGTCTACAGCTTCCTTCGACCAACCAAGTCCCCATCTAGTCCCCTCCTTTGGGGAGTGGCAGGTGCACCCCACTGCACCCCGAGTGGAAGCCCTTTACTCAGCACACGGAGCAGGAGCCTCTCAGGCCCTCAGCCTCTCTGGAGACACCCCCGGTTCTCTGCCCCGGCTGACACAGAAGAGAAGACAAAGGGCACAGGTGAGATGCTTATTGGCCTGAGAGGGGCGGGTGGCTGGGTCTCCCTCGGGGAAGGCGATGAAGAGGTCGGAGGGCCAGGAGGGACCAGAGCGTCTCCACCTTTGCTCAGCTGGGGAGCAGCTGCTGCCCTCCAGGGTGACTTTTTCTCAGAGATCCCAGCTAGGTTTCCATGTGGTCAGGCGAGTGTGAAGGTGAGCCTGTCCCTCGGAATCCGTCCCCCCGAGGGGCTCTGCCTCTTGGAATTCAGTATACGCACAGATCGGGAAACTTCATCTCGTACACGGGGATGGAGTGGTTCTGCGGCTGACCGTAGGCTGCTGTGATGGTTCCTGACGGACTTGGTGGGGGCCTAGGGGCAGGAACACATAGAGGAGAAAGGCATGGAGAGGAATCTCGGGGTCCCACCCCTGTGCAACTCAACAGAGGAGCTCACTTGGTTTCTCTTTGCACAGGGACCAGAGACTTTGTCACTTCCCAGGTTCTTAGATTTTTTAATTGTTCTAGAATCTACAGCTTGCAGTCAAGCTTCTCTGCAGGCTCTGCAGTGACACTGCCACTTTAGAAAGTAAAGCACCAGCCTGGGTCACTAGGACTCCTGGCTCATTCCTGGTTTCACCAAGCCAGGCTTTTTTCCTCTCTGGCCTCTTGTTCCTTTCTAGAGAGACTTGGTGGCTACGTCCAGCCCTGGGGATAGACGCTAGAAAGGATAGCTTGGAGGGGAGAACTGGAGACAGGTGTGAGCGAGGAGGACTCAGGACAAGGGGTCCCAACAGTGGGTCACAGAGGTAGGGGTCCCCTGCCCATGGCTGCCACTTACCGGATGGTGATTTCAAAGATCTGATTGAGTTTGCTCTGGAGCAGTGACGCCTAGACACAAACAGAAGGGGAAGTGAGCTGGGGCCCCCAACCTCTGCTGGCTGACGCACGGGCCCACCTGTCCAGAGCACACACTGGAGGGCAGGGCAGCCGCAGCCTTAGGAGGGCAACCGGGGTGAGCACATCCTAGCACTTATCTGTCAGACCCTGACTGTAGATTCAGATCAGGGAAAGCCACCCACTGCAGGCTGGCTGGGGACAGGACAGAGGGACAGAAACACCAGGGAGGACATCAGCAGGCAGTTCTCGAAAGCCCTTGTTCCTTAATGCAGGGCAGTAGGGTGTGCTGGGCCTGGAGCCGGGAGATTCGGAATGAAGTGCCAGCTCTTTCATTAACTCACAGGAGCAGCTCTGCAAACTGCTGGGTTAGAGAGGATCACTCTGGTCCCTGCTGGCTCCAGCTGAGTGTATTAATGCAGAGTGAGACTGCGTGTGCTCAGTAACCAGGCCCCGACACCTGGCTTGTGAAATGGGCCACATCTGCCTCTCGAGGTGAGATGAGCGATTAGGACAACACATGCCCAGGAAAACCTATATTTTGTATATGTACATAAATATTATATGTAAAACATATATGAAATAGAAAACTACATGTATTATATTTTTTTGAGAGGAAAAGTTGTTTGTGGATTTTGAATATTTACAATTATGTTTCATTGTTACTTAGATAGCCATTGTGGCTAAGAAATCCTGGCATGTAATCAGTTTCGAGAACTGTTCGAGCTCCTCCCTTAGGACCAGACACGGTCCTCATTTCTGCTTGTCTGGCTGCATCTCTCTCAAATCTCTTTTCCAAGGCCTGGCTGTTCCATCCCCCTGCCAGGGTCCTGTGGTGGGAAGAGGGCCCTGCTACAATGCTGACCCTCTTTCCTTGACCTGACATCCTTCTCCCATCACTCTGTAAGGCAGGAACCACCATGGCACTAGCTGCACAGAGATACCATGAGGATGAAATAAGCTAACTCGTGGAGACGCCATGGCACGCACCTGCAGTAATGATTACTATGAGTATAATCTGGTTGTCTGATACAGGTGCTCCTGAGGTCAGGACTTTTTTTTTTTTTTTTGACACAGAGTCTCACTTTGTTGCCCAGGCTAGAGTGAGTGCCGTGGCGTCAGCCTAGCTCACAGCAACCTCAAACTCCTGGGCTCAAGCAATCCTTCTGCCTCAGCCTCCCGAGTAGCTGGGATTACAGGCATGCGCCACCATGCCCGGCTAATTTTTTCTATATATATTAGTTGGCCAATTAATTTCTTTCTATTTATAGTAGAGACAGGGTCTCGCTCTTGCTCAGGCTGGTTTCGAACTCCTGACCTCAAGCAATCCGCCCGCCTCGGCCTCCCAGAGAGCTAGGATTACAAGCGTGAGCCACCGCGCCCAGCCAGGACTTCCTCTTAGGTGAAAATTGTAAGGTCTACAAGAGTGTCTGACCAAGACCCATGTCTTCTGGTTCACGGGGAGCAATGTAGCACCAGGGTGTTGGGGGAAACCTGGTGGGTGCAGCAAAGCTCTTGGTTTTGGAACAGAAACCCTAACTTCCAGGGTCTAAGAGCCAAGACCTCCTAGAAACTGAATCCTGCACTGGACCCAAATCCAGTCTCCGCTTGGCCCCCAAGGACTCGCCCTTGTCATCCTCACTCACCCGGGCTCCACAGTGTGCGGCGATCTCCTCAAAGGGTGCCTTCTGGAACTTCTCCACCACCTGTCGCCGTCGCTCACGCTCCTGCTCCTCCACTGCTACACTGTCCACTGCAACAGAAAGCTGGGTTAGCAACAGCCCCCACCCCACTGGTGGGGAAGGGGAGGGACTTGAACAGGTGTAAAGATGGATGGACTCTCGAGAGGGGCACTGCCCGTGAGTGCTGCTTAGGCTCTGCCCTCTTCACCGTCACTCTAGGGGATGGTGGCATGGAGATGTGGTGCCGTCACCTGGCCTCAGCAAGGCTGCACCTTTTCCTGATTCTGCCTGAGGGCTCAGTCTTCTTCCTCATGTGAGAGTTTAAGAACTAGTCAAGTGGGCTTTTAAAGCCCCAAGCAGCTGCTCTGCTACTTGAGTCTAGTTCTCAAGAGAGTTTGAGAACTAGACAAGAGAGTTTGAGGACTAGTCAGCTGGGCTTTTAAAGCCCCAAGTAGCTGCTCTGCCACTAGTACTCTTAAATAAAAGGTCCTGGAATAGTTGATCCTTTGAGTACTCTGAGGATAATTTGAAAAAGGACATCAAAAATGGACAGACTACAAGAGCTAGCACAGAAACCCTGTGTCAGAGCAGTCTGAGGCTGGTTAGTTTGAGGCTTCTACGCATGTCACTTGGTATCCAAAATGAATTGGCACCAAAAAGAAAAGGGTGGAGGTTCATCCTACTTGGTTTAATAAGGCAAGCAGTGTGTACACTCAGAGAGGTACCATTAATGACAACAAAAATAAAAAAAGGTTTGGCATGTACAGGCATAATTTGTCAATAGAAAAATTCTCTTATTGGGAATACTTCATTGCCCAATAATCCAGATAGATGAGGTGACAATGCATTTTAAAATCTATTACCCTTGTTAAATCAATAATCATATGATGTCTTCTTAGTATCTTCCACTGGTCAGCTTGTTGTTTTGTATTACACTCTACCAAAAATGAATCAGAATATTTACTCCAAATTTCTTTTTACCTGTAGCCCTTAATTGGTTACTTTTAAAGGCAGCTGTCATTTGTAGAAAAGGGTTGCCTGATGTAGGACACACACACCACTGACCCCCACCAGGAGAGCAGGGAGTTTCGACGGCAGCTTTGGCAGTTGAGACGAGTTTGTTGGAAGCCATCGGCTCCTCCCCTCATGTCGCTGCCGGATCTCACGGAGGAGGGCAGAGATTAGGCTGCATCTGCCTGGGAGCAGGTCCCAGGACCCCACCCCACCCTCCCCCCTAAACAGAGTCCCTCAGAGCCCCCAGCTCACCGATGGCCTTCTTCAGCGTCTCATAGGTGATCTCTTCAGCAGGCACTCGCTGAAGGAGAGGGGACAGATATTCAGCAAGGTTGGGGGGAGAAGGAGGTGGCAGCCCTGGTGTTCTCAGCTACCTGGTAACCCCTTTGCTACTTAGAAAAATGTCCCAATGGGCAGAAAGTCCCTCAGACACCCACATTCCCACCAGGGTCTCTGGAAGCTCCCTAAACAGGCACAGGGGAGAGCAAGTGAGAAGTGGGTGAAGCACCTCATTCCTCATCAGATTCAGACTCAGAAGAAAGTCCTGAGTCTCACCTAAAAGAATTCACTGTCCTCCGCCCCTCCTCAAGTCTGTCTCATCAAGCCCCTTGGGAGGAAAACAATGGAATTTTTAAAAATCCTCAGAGAACATAGAAAACATTGAAGCAAGAGGAGACAGGTGGCAAATATCATCTCAGATGTAAATTTCAAGTAAATAACATTTTTGAAAACTTATGATATTAAATTATCCACCAAGGTGATCTGAGTATTTAATAAAGGTAAGAATGGAAGATTAGCATTGAGCCCCAGCCCTGCTGAGGTTGGTCCAAGGACTTGGGTCATGGGATCTCCGTCCTACACAGAGTCTATAAAAGAGGTGGAAAGTAATAAAACCCAAAGAAGGGGACCCCATGGATGCGTGGCTTTAGGTCAGAGGCTGAAAACAGTGAAGGAGTTTGGACTAACTTCCAGGAATTCCCCACTGGACGATGAGTTACTTGAGCCAATACCCATGCTTTACTCTTGTCACTTAAACAGAATATTAAGCCGAATAAGTAGACACAGAAGAAAACGATTTCATTGATATAAAGTTCAAGAAGTGACACAACCAGGCTAGTGGCTCCCTTGGGGGAGGGCCCCTGGGCAATGACGATGTCCCATTCCCTGGTCCAGGTATGATCACACGGGTACACGCACTTTGTGAAAATTCATTAAACTGCACACTTTTGGATTTGTTTGGCTATCAGTAAATTCTTGTTTGAGTAGGAAAGAACAGACGTATGGGAATGGGACAAAGTCATTCCACAAATATCAAGTGGGCACCCATTACCCGCAGGACTCTAGGTGAGTCAGTAGAAACTGCAAAGTTTGTCAGCAGAGGAATGACACGCAGGAGAGAGCTGTGCTGAGCTAGAACTCACTGAGGATCATCCACCCTCTACATCCACCCACCATCCACGTGGGCACCGACCAATGCCAGACGTTCACCTGCGGGTTGCTGGGGAACTGTGGCACAGAGACAGTCCGAGAAAAGGACGCTCACCGGGCAAGAGCAGGTGGACAGAAGCTTAAGGAGGAAACGGGACAGGAGTGGGGCACTGAAAAACAGGCCACGCACAGGGCAAAGGTGTGCCCGTGTGCAGAGGAAGGCGGTTCAGCAGTGGCATTCTGCACCATCAAAGACCTGGTGCTGACTCAGTATGGCATGGGTGAGGCTCGGAGCATGCCCCCTGGAGCAGGACGGTGGAGGAAGGCCAGTGGGGCAGGAGGAAATAAATGGTAGGACCACCGGGCTATAAATGACTTTGAATGCAGGCACCAGGGCTGGGATCTGACCACAGCACAGTGAGCCTGGCATTTAAGGCCATAGGGGGCCAGGATTGACTAGGACATTCGGATTGACTGGGACCGCAGGATTGACTGGGACATTCGGGCTGAGGGTGGAAGGAATTGGCAGAAGGGAATGGAATGGAGGCCCCACACCCTGCTTTGCTACCAAGTCACCTCTGGGCTAAGCTGACTCTTGAATGGAGGAAGGAACCAACATGTGTGGCCCAGGAGGCCACTAGTAAGTAGGGCTCTATAGCCAGGTAAGCATTCCTCCTTGTCCTTGTGTGTCGCTTTACCCCTCAATTCCGGGGGGTGTCTCACCTCCTGGGAAGGGAGGATCACCACTGTAGGGGAGACAGCAGCCGACTCACCCTGAGGCCTAACACACTGGAGGTTCCCAGTCTTTGGAGCTGGAGGCCTTAGAGGACACCCTGCTCAACCTCCTCATTTACTTATCTAATTAGCCCAGGTCAGAGGTTCCTTCCTTCCACCTCCTCTGGAAGGTTCCAGACGAGCTTTCAGAGCCCTGGACTGGAGGTCTGCACCAGTGGACGAAGCATCTGAGGGCAGAGTTAGAGGGAGACTTGATTCAGGCCCTCAAAGACATTTCCTAGCTCTGATCCCATCTGGGGAAAGGCTTGGTGTCGCAGCTGTCCTCCACGTGCACAGACTCGAGAACGCCAGCCTGCACGGCCCAGGGACCACGAGAGTCTGCCTGTCCTGGTCCCACCCACATGCGTGTCCTTTGGGCTTCTCTGAGGCTTCCCCACGCCTCCGCCCATCCCCTTAAGCGGGGCAGTCGGCATTAAACAGAAGCGTGAAGCTTCTTTCTCCCGCCGCTCCGCCCTCTCCCCGCCTTGCTTTCTTATTTGGTGGAGTAAACTGGCGTTTCCATTGTGATTCCCTAATCTCCCTTACTCACGGGCACATCTGCTCTCCTTGCTGAGGTAGAAGAAAGGAGATAATGGCAGGGGAGACATCACATGTTAATTTGAACATAAATTAGATATTCCCGCACCTCATCGGAGGGTGGAAGGAAGGGGGATCTTTGAGGCCCTGCTGCAACTGTCTCTTAAAAAAAGAATCTGGGTTGTCAGGGGTTAGGGATGAGGGATGGACAGGTGAGCACAGACGGTTTTTAGGGCAGTGAAGATACTCTCCACGATACTGCAATGGTGGACACGACGACAGTGGAGACATTTGTCCACACCCACAGAACGTGCAACACCAAGAGCGAACCCCAGTGTAATCAGACCTTGGGTGACAGTGATGTGTCAGTGTAGCCCCATCAATTGGTGAGGGATGTTCCTGATAAGGGAGGCTGTGCGTGAGTGGGGGCAGGGGGTACGCGGGCAATCTCTGCGCCTCCCTCTTAATTTTTCTGTGATCTAAAATGCTTTAAAAATGATCTTAATTTTAAATAAAGAATCTTTATTGATGTATCTGGAAGAAACACTATGAAAGCTGTTCTCACCCTCATATCTCGTGTTAACCCTTCCAACTTCCAACATGGAGCACGCCTGCCCCCATGTGAGCAAGGAATGCTGACCAGAGAGCCTTTCAGGAGTGATTTGTATGCTATTCTCACAGGAGCAGAGGACAGAAGCAATTGTTCCAGATGAAAGCATCTATGATCTATACCTACATGGTAAGAGTCAGTACGAACATGGATGTTCTCCATGTAACTGAAGCACATTGTGCCATAAGCGAGCCTGGAGTCAAACGTGCAACCCACGGGCACTGGGAGCTGTGCCAGGACAGCGGTGAGGACACTTACCTCCTCCTTCTCCGGACTGTTCCTCGATTCCACCTCCACCTGCAGGGAGATGGTCTCTCCAATGCTCCTCCTCTTGGATAAGCGGTCCTCATCTGGGAAAGAAGCAGCCCAGAGCTGGAGTCTCCAGGCCTCGGAGAGACAGGACCAAGTCACCGCCCCACCTCCCAACCCGTCTGCCTCCACTCGCTCCACAGTCCTCTAAGGCTCAGTGCACACTCAGGGTATATCTGGAGTTTCCAGAAGCTTCCAATTGCTGTGTACTTTCTTCATCTATCTTAGGGTAGTTAGTCTTGCTCTTTAGGGCTAAGATTTTGGAATCGTTGATGAGCACGAGGAAGCTGCTTACGACCAGAATGCATATCTGAGCTTGTATAAGCATCATCTGCTAACAGCACTGGCAGCTGTCATTCGTGTAGTATTTTCTAAGTGCATTTGCATTAATACGGGCACGTCATTTCATCTACCTCTCACATCGACCCTCTAAGGCAGGTATTACTAATGTCCCTATTTTACAGTCAAGGACACTGAAACTCAGAGATGCCAAGGGACTCATCTAAGATTTTACAGGCCACAAGTTGCACAGAGGTCTGGAGCTGGCTCTGGTTCCGTAGCCCATGCGTGCTCTTTCCAGCCCAAGGGAGCCTCTCCCGTCCACAGGCCAGGCTGTCTTAGGGGACAGTTACTTTCAAGAATCCGCACTAAGGAGGAGAGGTGGGGACATCAAGAGAACTCACCATAAACTTCCACCGTGTCTTTCAGCCCTCGTGCAATACCCAAGGTGCCACGGAAGGCAATGTAAGGGCCCGCAAGTCCCTTACACTCAGGCCCTTAGCTGGCTAACAAAGACGGAGGCCGTCTTGGTAGTCCCTGCACAGAGCTCATACCTGTCAGCTGCGGGATGTAGGGCAGACAGAGCCGGTCCGCATTGTAGCCACTGCCCCCCAGGACTTCGCTGATCTTGCTCTGGCGGAAGAGGAACTCAATCACCACTCCATCAAGGTTTTGAGACAGCCTGGACGACAAAGGAAGGAGAAGGCATGTTAGAACCGTAGGTGCCTAGAATGATTTCCTAATAACTTTCCTTATTGTAAAAGTAAGCTGGGTGCAGTGGCGCGCGTCTATAATCCCAGCCATTCGGGAGACCAAGATGGGAGGACTGTTTGAACCCAAGAGTTAGAGACCAGCCTGGGCAATATACAATATACCAAGACCTCATCTCAAAAAAAAAAAAAAAAAAAAAAAAAAAGGTAATATGTTCACTATGCAAGATGACAGAGAAGCAAAAGGAAAAGAAAATCACCCAGACTGAAGTGCAGTGACTGTTTACAGCAGTGATCATCGTGCACTGCAGTCTAGAACTCCTTGGCTCAAGCAATCCTTCTGCCTCAGCCTCCCAAGTAGCTGGGACTACAGGTGTACGCCACTGCACCTGGTTCAGTTACATACTTTTATGTACAAATATCCCCATCTCACGCACTGTTTTGTGATCTATTTCTGCCCGTGATTCCACAGGCGCCTGCGCTCCCCGGCGCTGACCTCCTCTGGCGCCAGACCACCAGCCTGCTCCCCCAGCTGCCTGGGGATCCCTGACAACGTGCCTGCGCTCTCCTCACCTGGGCCTCTCCACAAACACGTCCTCAGGGAGCATGTACGGAGCCTCTTTCTTCCTGGTCTCTATCACCTGGAGTTTGGGAGGAATCAAATGACAAGAGCCCGGTTCAACAGTGAGAGGGAGCTTGGAGCGGCAAAAAGAGGCCCCACCCGTTTCAGCATTCACCCCTCCCGGAGCACACTCAGCCGGGCTTCTCAGTAGGAAACCCCGACCAACAGAGACCCTCGGAGACCCTCAGCCGCCTGAGAAGTCCTGCTTCCCTTCGGGTGGTCTCTGGCACAGTGACACAGCACCCTCCCGACACCCCTCAGCCAAGCTGAGACCTGGGGTTTCTTGCTCTGTTTTGATAGTGTGTGTGTATAGTATTATTTTTTTTTCTTTTTTGAGACAGAGTCTTGTTCTGTCACCTGGGCTAGAGTGCAGTGACATCATCATAGCTCACTACAACTCAAACTCCTGGGCTTAAGTAATCCTCCTGTCTTAACCTCCCAAGTAGATGGGACTACAGGCGCGTGCCAAGATACCTGGCTAGTTTTTCTGGTTTTTGTAGAGACAAGGTCTTGCCTCTTGCACAGGAAGGTCTTGAATTCCCATGCCAGCCTCCCAGAGTGCTAGGATTACAGGCATGAGCCACCACGCCCGGCCTTGCTATTAATAGTATATTTTAAAGTTAATTCTAGATATTGTACAATTCCACCTGTAAATGCTTCAGTGTGTTTTAAAATATCTTTATGCAACCACAGAGAACATTTGACTATAGACTGGGTCCAAGGCATTATTGATAATGTAATTAGCTACGTTACTAGCACGGCAATCATGTAGAGAGGTGCCCGTGTTGTTTTAGACATATATGTTATACACATAAGGTCAAAGGACAGGATAGCTGGGATTTGCTTTAAAATATTTTAGCAAAGAAAAAGAAAAGGAGGTAGATATCTTTATAACTTTATTTAATCTACACGATAGCTAATGGATGTTCGTGGTTTTACTACGCTTTTGCAGTACTTTCGAATGTTCACAGCAAAAGCTCCAAGTGGCTTCCGTCCACCTGATCTGAGGGGTGTGGGCGTGCGCTGGCGTGCGTGGGGGAGCGCAGAAGGCAGTGGATGGGCGGCAGCAGGTTAGGAGGGGGCACAGGCCACCCTCATGCCCGATCCCCCTCCCCACTCTGTTGACGGAAGGCAAAGCTGCCGCAGTAACTGCTGTTACCAGTTCTCACGTCCCCCCTTCCCTCACTGCCAGGGACTAAGGTCAGCACTAGCACAGTGGAAGGGAAGCTGCTCCCAGGAAACCCCGAGTCAAGGGCCCCGAGCTCTCAGGGCTGTGGGACACCGACCTCGTGGATGTGCTGGCAGAAGGCAGGCACCGTGGTGAGCTGGCTGATGAGGTTCAGGTAGGCGGCGCCCAGGGCGTAGAGCGCGCAGCGGTTGTACACAGGCAAGTTCTCCTCGTTGACCTGCGCCACGTCCTGGGGCAACACAGACGGGCCTCCTGCGTCAATGACAGGCTCCACCAGCGCCCCACCCTCCGCCCAGCCTCTCCCCAACCTCCCTGACACATGGCTCACTTTTCTAGACCAAGCCTTCCTCAGCATTTGTCCCATGACTTCCCGGGGGATATTAAGACAAGTCATCCTCGTTAAAGCGGAAGGGAATGTTCTCTGAAACAATCTCTCTAATACTCACTGAGCACGAGGCAATGCACTAAATGCCCAGTCTGCAGTCGCAGCCTTGCGACCTGTACTGTCCAAACCCCACTACTAATCCCGCCACAGGGATGCCGCCGCCTCCACCAGTCGATGCTCGGAGGATGGGCCGGCTGGCTAAACTGGGTTTCTGTGTTAAGCTGAGAGAGCTGTGGGAGTCACCAGGGGACTGGGACACAAGAATCCCGAATTCTAGTTCTTGAGGGTAAAGAGAATTGAGACAGTTGTGGCGTCCAGGTTGGCCCTGCAGGATGGGGCGGCGTCAAGCCGTCACCTCAGACTCTCGTCACTGCATTCCCGGGTTTGCCGCAGTTCAGGAACACGATGCCTGCCTGGCTTCAGGCCCTGGAGACCCCAGGTGCCTTTGAGGTGTGAGGGAGCCACCGGGATGCCCAGTGTCCCTGGGAGCACGCCCATGCGGGCAGACTGTGACTTCTCAAGCCCTGTCCCATGCCCCACTGGCGCCCACGAGCCACGCAGGAGGCTTGGGGCACACACAGGCTCCCAGGCCTGGGAGACCCTGACTCATGCATTTTTAACAATACGCATTTTTAACAAACGCTCAGCTCAATTCTGAAGCACAGCTAAGTTTGGGAGCCAGAGGATCCTTAGACAAGTTTGTTGGACCTCTCAAGAATCACGAGCAGCCTCTTAGGAATCCCTGGAGCCTCACTCGGACCCTGCGAGAGACCTGGAGCACTAGGGGCGCAGAAATGTTTCCGAACCACCCTGCTCCCTGGGTCTCCTTTAGCTCGAGGCTGGGCCCAAGCCATGAACAGAGCATTCTTTGAGTTTCCCCAAACAGGAAGGGTTTGAGGTCTTCACGGAGGAATGACCAAGAGTGCAATATTCCTGGGCTCCAGAACAATCATTAAGCAGCTGCTACTCCCTGCTCTTAGAAGCGCTAGACCCAAACAGTCCCCTGGCCCACCCTCGCCCACCTGCACAGCCAGCACCAGGCGGATGAGGTCCACCACCACCTCCTCGTTGGCCAGCTCGATGCTGATGAGCGCCAGCAGCCCGTACAGGGCCTCGTAGTGCTTCTGCACGTTCGTGTCCTCCTTACAGCTCAGGTAGATGTGTCTGTAGAGCTGCTGGGAGTGCTGGGGGTGGGAGCGGGCAGGAGGGTGTGGAGGGGACGGGGGGGCAAGGAGAAGGGGGAAGAGGGCCGATTTGAGGAGGGGCAGGTGGCGTGTGTACCCTACCCCCACCCTCAGGGGTGACGCCTTTCAAGCAGACTCAGTGGGAGGGACGCACGTGGGGGCTTGCTCGGGAAGGGTGCGCTGCAATGGAACCAGCAACAAAAGCTGCTGCCCGTAGCCAGTTTTAGGAGCAGAGAGCAGTCGATGGCCCTGGACTGACTCATCGCCCTGGGCTTGACCCCCCAGAGGGGCCAGCTGGCCAGCCTGGCCACACAGAGCCTCGAGGGCGGAGGCAGGCTCTGGGGACAGGGAGCGTCCGCAGTGACTGGGGCCACAGGCCTGGCCCGCCTGGGTCACGGGGTCCCAAGGCCGTGTTGCCTACCTTCTTCATGAAGACCGTGTCCTGTCGGGAGCATTTGTCCACTTTCAGCTTCAGGACAGAGATGTCACTGAGGGTACTGGGAAGGGACACAAAGGGCCTCCTCAGCCCTGTGTGGGGCTGGCCCAAGTTCACACGCTGTCACTAGGCTTTATCCCCAACATGGTTAATTGGCACCGAAGCCTCCCAGGGCTTCCTGGCCCTGGTTCATAGCCAATCTCCATCTTCTCCCAGGTTCTCACGTTCCTGCCCCTTTCTCTTAAATCTCAACCCTGATTATTCTCTTCCTCTTCTTATCCCCCCAGTCTCTCAGTCTCCACTGTGGCCCTGTAGTCCCTCCCTTCCCCCCAGCTGAAAACCCCCTTCAGTGCCTGCTCTTCTGTCCCAAATCTCCAACACCTCTTGCCCAGGCACAAGCGCCCTTGGTCTCCCCTGCCCTGCAGGACCCCAGGGTCAGAGTGGTGATCAGCTCCCTGGTGGGGCTCACTGAATATCTGAATTGTCCTCCCACCTGGTGTGAGGCCACTGGCCAAGAAGACAGGCTCCACTGCGCGTCCCTCCCCTGACATCCACTGGAGGAGAGACCCCCATGGTCACCTGATGGTAGAGAACTTGTGCCGGTTGCCATGACGATCAATGAAACTGATGAGAATCTCTAGAACGAAGAGACGGATTTCTGCGTCCTCCATGAGGGCAGTGGAGAGAAGGCGGTCAAGGAAGTTGCTGGGCAGGGCTGACATCATGTTGTAGCACTGGAAACCTGTGGATACCTGCGAGGGAGCCCAGGACAGGTGTGCTCAGAAACCACCATCCCGCTGGGGGCAGGGAGGATACAGAGGAGCAGCCCACAAAAGTTGGGTCTAAATCCATCCTCTCCCGACAGACAGCTCCCAATCAGCTTCCCCAATCTCGCCCCAGGCCCCAGATGCCACAGCAACTTTCTTGAACACTCTAGTATCCTTCTAACAACCTACTCGGCTCAGCTCAGAAGACTGTGAGTGGACGGGGACAGTGTGCAGAAACATTAAGGTGTTAAATGCAAGCAAGGGACGAGCACCCAGGGAAGCAGGAGCCAGGGAGCCTCTGAACCTAACGTGCCAACCTGCCCGGGCACAACTGACAAACACCTTTCATGAACACTATGTGTCATTAAGAGTATGACAGTCATGAAGAATTGGACAGTGGAAGGACTTACAGCTGGGCTGAAGAATCGGAACTCACACACATGGCAGCAGCCACAAAGCACACACAGACAGCATTTGGTCACATCTCTTCTAGACTAAAGCAGGTGGCATAAGGAGACACATCATGTATGACATTGCCAGAGCATTCAAAAGCAGCAGAGCGCAGTCACTGTCGGGCCCACATTGCAGAACAATGCCTTTGATGATTCAGAAGGCCACTGAGGATGTGGCACAGCCTGGCAGCATCAGTAGTTCACTGAAGGGGGGGGTGGATGCAAGTGAACCCCAAACTATCAGCTTAATAAGATGCCATGCTGGGTACAAAGAACAGCATAGGCTTGGCAAAGAAGTGGCAGGAATACGGAGACCAAGGAGATATCTAGATGTGGACAGTGTCAGAGCAAAGGGGCTTTACAAAATACAGTGCTGAAAGGGGTGAGGAGAGGAGGGAAGGGAGGGCATGAGTGGGCGAGTCGGGGGGTCTGAGTAGAAGGGCGTGGCCGGAACAGAGAGACTAAGAGATGAGACTGGGGTCTAGGGCAGGAAAGGGGGAGGGGCACCTCCCAGCTTCAGACAAAGAAATTCAAAATCCAGATGTGCACACCCATTAGAAACTGAGATCTAGGCAGGGCGTGGTGGCTCACGCCTGTAATCCTAGCACTCTGGGAGGCTGAGGCGGGAGTTGCTTGAGGTCAGGAGTTCAAAACCAGCCTGAGTGAGACCCCCATCTCTACTAAAAACAGAAAGAAATTAATTGACCAATTAAAAATATATATAGAAAAAATGAGCCGGGCATGGTGGCGCAAGCCTGTAGTCTCAGCTACTTGGGAGGCTGAGGCAGCAGGATCGCTTGAGCCCAGGAGTTTGAGGTTGCTGTGAGCTAGGCTGATGCCACGGCACTCACTCTAGCCTGGGCAACAAAGTGAGACTCTGTCTCACAAAAAAAAAAAAAAAAAAGAAAAGAAAAGAAACTGAGATCTACTCTGAAATAACACGCAACACATGGAGAACAGTGTTTCTAGACAATTCTTCTTGTGGTTGAGTTTATGACAGGTGAGGAGAGGTTGGGGGACTGGGTTTAGGCTGTGCATAGGAATACCTGGGCACTCATGCAGACCGACAGCTCAAAATTGCTAAGGCATCTACGTATTTTATCAAGTTGGTCACCGGAATGGTGTTTGAGAGCGATGGATCTAGACTCCAGTGACAGGTGCACAGGTGTAAAGAAGAGGCATATAAAACGACGATGAAGGGGAAGACAGGGCTGGGAGACTGAGGCACACACACGTGCCAGGGGAGAAACGGAAAACAGGGGGAAGGACCTGGGGGGCACCTGGAAGGAAAAGGGGGTAGGAACCAACAGATTCCAACTCAAGACAGTAATGTTTGACTGACAAAGCTATCAGTAGTCAACAAGGAACCTTTAGGAAAATTAGAAACAGGTGCCCTGTCTGCTCCGGATGCCCGGCTCCGTGGTGCCCAACCTGGCTAGCGAGTGGAGCACAGGCTGGATTTCAGCCCCCACTCACCCTTCCGGCGGGCGTATTTGTGCAGTGTGCAACCCGCATGCCTGTATGGTGGTGGCCTTCTCTTGGTCCCTTGGAAGGAGCTGCCTCCTGCAGAGGCGGAGCAGGAATGGGGATGGAAGAGGCTCACCTGAAGGAGGGATTTCAGCAGCATGATCTGGGTCAGACGGTTCCTGTTCTCCCTGTAGACGAGACACACTCCGTCACCAGGATGGTGCTGAGGGCGGAGGTCCCACACCTGCCTGCTCATTCTCCCTGGGATTAGTTCCCCCACAGGCTCATCTTGTTGGGTTACCCAGGACAGTGGCTTCCAGACGCAGGAAGCAGACCAGGCATTAATGGCTGCCCCCAAGGCGGGAGGTGGTTACTGGCGGGGCAGCCTGGGAAACTGTCCCGTGAAGGGCTGCCGAGGGACTGGAGAGGGAAAGGGAGCAGAGGGGAGAGCCAGGAGAGCCAACACGGACCAGGAGAGAGCAGGAACATGGAAGGGGAAGTGGGGAGGGACCTGGGCAGGGAGGGGCGGGGACTCACCCTGTCCTCCCCGCCTCCACGGGGTGCTGCAGGGAGGGCAGCGGGACCTTGCTCATGATGAACAGGATCACCTCCGAGCGCTGGTAAGTGGGCAGCGTGCTGGCAAAGGAGCCTGCGGGAGCAGGGCACAGAGCGCTGGCCCAGAGGAGGCCGTGGCCCCCGGGGCCTCTCCTGCCTGGCCCTTCACTGAGAGTGGGGGCTGCCCTCTCCCAGCCAGCCAGACCCGGGAGAGGAGCCGCCCAGAGCAGTCTGGGTGGGACTCGGCCTGGTGCCATTCCCTCGCTTGTTATCACCGAGGTCGTCTTTACGGTCTCAGCTCCGTGACCAGAGCAGGGTGGACCCGGGACGTCCCGGTTGGCAGGAGGCATTTTCCCCAGCGGCCCTCCGGGTGCCCGTGGGTAGGTGGGGAAGGACCATGGCTCCACCGTCCCGCCCTGCCCTCTTCGCAGAGCTGAGGGAGGCTCCGGAAGCGCTGGGCCTTCACACGCTCCTGCGTGGCTTTGCAGTCCTCCACACCCAGGCGCACACCCTCCACCACCCGCTGCCTTTCCGCTTTTCTCCCTGCTCTCTTCCTCAGTCCCACCACCCTCCAAGGGCCCTACCCCGGAGGCCACAGGCCTGAGGACGGCGGGGCTCGGCTCTAATCTGAAGCCTGGGCGGAGAACCCCGGGGACTGTCCTGTGCTCTCAGGCCCTGCCTGGGCCAGTCCTGTGCTCCGTGGAAGGATCCTATTTCTCCACTGTCCGTGCACAGCATGACAGGGAGTGTGTGATAATCCTGCAACGCCCAGACTGATGCTGCTGTGGGCCCGTCCCTACACCTGGCCTCGCCCTGCCCGGCCCCCACTCTTCCTGGCCCCGTCCCGGCCCCACTCCCTGTCCCCACCTATGGTCTTGATCACCGCCTCCTGGAACATGCGCTCCTCGTGCTCCTTGATGATCTTGGTGCCCAGGCTGACGGCGCCGTCGTAGCTGCCGGTCAGGGCGTAGTCGATGCTGAGCCGCAGCTGCCTCAGCAGCGTGTTGAACATCTCCAGCACCGTGGGCCCTGCGCAGCGGGGAGGGAGACCCCACATGGAGGGCTGGCACCCGTCTCGCATCCCCTCCCTGGCTGCATTCCAGGCAAGCCCGGCTCCCGTCCAGGTAGGAGCTGCTTCTGTCCCCCAGCTTCCCCGGCCACCTTCTCCTTCGGAGGAAAACCCACCCGGCAAGGGCAGTTCTGTCCCTGGGGCTCCCTGGCCCCCACTCCCTCGCTCAGGGCCCCCACCCCCTCGCTCAGGGCCCCTTACCGACAGAGCCGGTGGCTGCGATGACCGCAGCCTCCGACAGAACCTCCACGATGCCAGCGCGCACGGTCGCGGCGCTGCGGCTGTTGGCGTCCAGGTGGCCGAGGAGCTGCTGGATGACCAGGTGCGAGTGCTGCGGCTGCGGGGAGGAAGACGTGCTGGGCCCCCGTCGGGACCTCGTGTGGCCTTGGGGTCAGATGGCCCTCTCCTGGGACTCAAAGGCCAGGGCTAAGCTAAAGTGATGTCCCCAGGCCAGCAGGCACTGCAGGTGGCACCCACACCCAGTGTCCTTTCTGGAGCTCCTCACACCACTGGGTCCAACAAAGAACCAGATCCCAGTGAAGACCTGGGTCTGCACATTGCTCCTGGGCCCTTTTACTTGAAATGGGTCCGAAGCCCATTTTAAACTATTGTCTTCCTTTTCATTTTTTCCCAGCCTCAGGCCTTACTGGCAAGGGCCATGAGAGGCCACTTGGTTTAGTCCAGTGCTGTCAAGCAAGGTATGGCCTGTGGGCTGGGGCCAATTCAAGACCTGTTTGACGTGGGTTTACACAGAGATAGTAAGTTCAGAGAGTCAGCGTTCGGCAATTTGACAGTGCCGCAGCAGCCGAGGGTCTCATCTGTGGGCTTGTATGTTCCATGAGTTTTTCATTTAATTTTTCTGGGAATTTGTTTTAACTGTATTTTATAAAAGTATTGGTCTGTGATGGGCTGGAAATTAAGCTGGCCCTTCTCCACCACTAGCTTAAGCAGCACTGGTTTAGACAGCTGGGGGCTTAGGAGAAGTCACAGAGGACACCTGGCTTCCTGCCTTAGTGCACTGTCCTGCTCCCAGGGTGCCCTCGGTAGGGGACAAGCAGGACCCGGACAGCCGCCGTACCTGAATTGAGTACATGATGATTTTGAAGCAACGGATGGCGAACACCTTGGGCTCCCAAAGAGAGTGGTTATCCAGATGGCTGCGAGGGAGAAAACACGGGGTACAACCGTGAAATGCCGATTGACGGTGGGGAGGAGAGATGCACTTGGAAGGACAGTGACGCCTCCTGAGAGCCCTTGCAGTTCCCGGGTGGGTGAGGAGGGGCTTACAGGTGTGGCTGAGAGAAGAGAACCATGAAGGGCCCTGGGGCAGCCCCAGCCCCAGAGCTGGAGAGGGGCGCAGGGACCGGCTCCGTGGCTGTGGATGCGTGGAATGAAGCTGGGCACCCTCGTCCAGCTTTGGGCGCCTTCCTTCCAGCTCCTCTCCCCACTGCGCTTGGCCACTGTGCGGCAGCTCTTACTGTCATAGCGCAGGGAACACGGGCACAGAGAAGGGGCCGGCTTGGCCACAGCGCCACAACTGTAATATCCCTCCCCTTCTCCCCAAGCCGGCAAGGAGATGCCGGGGGCCTGCAACAGTTCAAGGCTGAAGGCTGGGGCAGGGGACAGGGACACTCACATGAGAACAGGCTTGATGGCATTTTTGATGTTGCCAAAGGCAGCCCGGCCCAGCAGCTCCCGGAGGCACCTCTCGGCCAGCTCTGCAGGGTTCTCCTTTTCCTTCTCCGGGGCTTGGAGGGGTGAGGGAGACCGGCTGGGGAAACAGAGGCACACGGTCAAGGACAGAGTGCAAAGTTGGGAGTCAGTGCCTCAACCCTGCCAGTGGTGACAGTCGGGCAGGAAGGAATTTGACAGGGGCTGCACTAGGCAACAGGGAGGCACCATGTCGTCAGAAAGTAAATGGGGCAAAGACGCCCCCCACTGGGGGAAGAGGAGGAAGGTGGTGGTGGTGGGGGAAGGGATTAAGGTCCTTTTCTGGAAATCCTTAAGGGTAGGCCTGGCGTGCCCTTGTGGGAAGGACTCTCTGAGCCTAAGGGCCTTGGGGGGGCTCCATGCTCCTAAGGCCTCAGAAGGAGATGGGATATGGAGAGAGGGAGGGGGCAGACAGAAAAGGGAGAGAGAGCAAAAGGAAGGGGGAGGAAGGAGAGGCAAGGAAAAGGAAAGGCACGGTGGCTGGCTCAGGCATGGCTCAGTGGTACCCACATCACAGGGAGTGGGCCCAGACAGGGACAGAACCAGGAGCCCTGGCCATGAGATGCCAGAGACCAGAGGGAGCCCGTCAGTGAGCTGCTATTCCGGAAGCAGCCACCAGAGGGCACACTCACTTCCCAGCCAGTCTCCAGCAGCCTGCACTCCCTTGACTGAAAGTGAAAAACCCAGTGTCCCCAAACCAGCATCATGCACAGATGGCCAAGGTGGGACAGCAACATGAACCTCCCCCACCATCCCATTTCACAGAGGGGAACAGTGAGGGGCAGGGAAGGGAATGACTCCCATGCTTAGGGGCTCCAAGATTAAAACCCCGTATCTGCAAGTCTTGCCGAGTGGCTGCAGGCTGGTCAAACATGCGTGTATTTTAAGGGCCTGAAATAGCATCAGGAAGCGCGGGAGGAAGGTCCGGAGGAAAGTCCTGAGTAATTGGAGCCATGAAAGGCATTTTAAAACCTCCTTGGCCACTGCTTCCAGGGAGACAAAGGTAACCCGACTCTTGGCTCCTCGAGTCCTTCCAGCACCCACCACTTGCCCCAGGGAGCCAGCACCACACTGTCCTTCCTTCGCTAGGGCAGATGGTGAGGGGTACAGCGGGCTGGCACAAGGCCAGCCCCAGGCTCCTGGGGGGCCAGCTTTGGACTCATCGCAGAACAAGCCACGATCCCTGGCCTTGTGCGCCCAAGCCACGTGGCTCCTGAGCAGCCTGGGAGGGCAGCCTCAGAGGACCGGTCATGTCCACAGTCCGAGCTCCATCCGGCCGGCTTACCTTTCTGCTTCCTCTACGTGCTGCAGATTGAAAAGCAGCGACGGGACGATCTTGTCCATATGCTGTGGGTCCCAGATGTTGGCCTGCAATTCGTCATTCACTGTCTTCCTCACCACCCCTTGCAGACCTTTGATGCCCGACATTCGAATTCTGTAAGGAACAGGGTGAAATGGGACTATGAAGTCCTCGAGCCCCGAGAAGTCCAGCTTCTGTGGCAAAGAGAGGAGCACAGTTTGGGGGATGGGGATACCTTCGTCCACCGGAAGGCAGAATGGAGACTACCTGCTACACTTCATGTGACCTGACCTCCCGGCCGGCCGGCTCTGTGGACACGAGTCCAAGAAGCCATGTCTTCTGGCTGGTCGTGGAGACTCCCAGACCGCCCTTGCCCTGGTCCCATCCAGGCTGCATCCCTAGGGTGCTGGCCGCTCCAGCTCTCCCCCTTTAGTACTTAGCTGGGCCCAAGATATAAAAGCTCAAAGTGCTGCCAAGGACTGATGAGGCCGAATCCAAGGCTGCGGACAACTTACAGGGCAGGGAGAGGGCCAGAGCTGCAGGCTCTCAGGTGCAAAGGAGTTCCAGCTGGGGCTAAGCTGGCTGAGAAATTGGAGGGGACACTGAGTAGCAGCACAAAGGGGGTCCCTTTTGCACACTCCCAGTCCCTCTGTGCCAACTCAAGGAGGATGCCTTCTTTACTGGCCATTAATAAAGGCTGGTATTTCAGCCTGAAGTTTTTTCTTTTCCTTTTTATATCAAACTTTTTTCCTGATTATAAAATAATAAATGTTCATTATAGAAAAGTATAGAGAAGAAAAGATTTAGCCCTACCATCATTACTCGAAGATAACCATTACTGGGCATTTTGGTGTTTTTCCTTCTATATATAATATATAACAGAATTAAGAACCTATTGCATATTTAATTTGTATTGCCCCCTTGCCCTCTTTTTAAGAGACAGGGTCTCACTCTGTTACCCAGGCTGGAGTGCAGTGGCATAAGCATAGCTCACTGCACCCCCCAACTCCTGGGCTCAAGCAATCCTCCTACCTCAGCCTCCCAAGTAGCTAGGACTACAGGTGTGCGCCACCATGACTGGCTAAGTTATTATTTTTATTTTTTGTAGTGATGGAGTCTCCTATGTTGCCCAGGCTGGTCTCAAACTCCTGGCCTCAAGCAATCCTCTTGCCTCCGCCTCTCAAAGTGCTAGAATTACAGGTGTGAGCCACCTCATCCAGCCATGCATTGACTTTTTGTCACATAAATTTTGGTTATAAGCATTTTTTCTTTATCATTGACTCCTCAAAACATGTTGAATGACTGCATGATCGCCTATAATAACTTTCTAAACTAGTCCCCCATTGATCATTCATTTCCCGATATTTTGCTATTATAATAATGCTATGATGGATATCATTGTATACAATATTTTATGACGTTTCAAGTCCTTGCCATGAGTGTAATCACTGAATCGTAAGGTAGGACATGAAAGAAAGGCTCCCGATACTGCCAAGTGACACTCCCCTCCCCCACCCGTGCAGGCAGCAGGAGACCCGGTTCTCACTGTGCCCGCCCCAGCACCGAGGATCTCATTTTAAACATCTGTTCTAATTTTATGACTCAGAAACATCCACACATCTTGTAGCTATTTCGGTTGCATCCTTTTGATGATTGTTGGAGTTGAACAGCAGTTTTTCTGAATGTTTAGTTGACAGTTGTATTTTCAGCCTCAGTTTTACCCTGGGCCTTACCGAGTGACCATCACTGAGGGGTGGCAGGAGCTTAGCACCAGGATGCCCTGGCCAGGACCCTTCAGGGCTGCTGGCAGCAGTCAGAGATGTCCCGGGGGAACACTTGGCCACTCTGACCCTGACCCCCACTCAAGCCCCTGAGCCGGAGTCTGTCGAGACTTTTGAGTAAACTAACTGGAATATTATTCCACGTGCTATCCCCGGCTCCTGGTTAGAAGGCACTCCTGAGTGCACACCCGAAATACACCCTAAACACGCCGGGCTCATTCGTCCCACCCCAGAGGGCCTGGCTGGCAAGAAACCAGGCTTGGCTGGTGGTACATTTTCTACGCAGGCCTTCCTTAGGCGTGAATGTGGATTAACTTTTCTTCTTTTCCTAACTACTTGCACTCCTTCAATCTCCCCAGAATCCTTTCTGTACACGTGCAGGTTTCATTCCGTGTCACCCAGAGCTGATTGTCCCTTTCACAATGAGTTCACAGAGATCAGGCCTGGGGAAGAGGGAACTTCTCACTGTGCCTCTTACGGGGCTCCGTGGAGACCTACCCACGGCCAGGGGCCTGTGCAGTCTCTGAACCCAAGTGGAGTTCAGAGAATACTGATCTGCTGGCTCTGAGGGATCACGCAGCACACGCACGCACACACGTGCACACACATGCACGCCCACACGCCCACACACATCCCCACTGTGCAGAGCCAAGGGTGTTCTTGGAAAGGGCAGCCACCGGCATTCAGAGGCATCCCGGGGCTCCTAGAGCGAAGCGATGCCGTGCGCACGGACAGCCCGGCACACCTGCCCCCACTCTGGACTCCGGAAAGACCAACAGGACATGAACAACACAGGGGGATCTCAGGGAAAAGGGAGGTGCTGGAAGAGAGTGAGGCCGAAGGCACAGGAAGGAAGAAGACTGATGCCCGACAATGCCTCCCCTCTCGCCCTGTGGCCTTCCTGTCATGGGTGACAACTGCTAGTCTGTGGTGTAATGGCACTGCCGGGGAAGGGACAAACCCCAGCCTCCCTCCTGATGTTCGGGACACTCTCATTGCTGCAGGGACGCGGCGCTGAGCGTGCTGCACACGTGGGCTGATCGCGTGTGGGCAGTGTCACAGGAGTGTCCCTTGCACTCTGCCTCTGGACAGCGTGGCCCAGCCTGGGCGGGCCAGGACAGTGCTTGACACAAAATACCTATGTCCTGTTCCATCACATATTTACCGATCATCAGTCTGACTCGGGGCACTGTGCTTCATGCATTTGTGTCAGTGTATTTTCATTTTAATTTCTTTGTGGTTTTGAGAGGTCTCACTTTTATATCTATGAGTATTTTCTATTTTTTTCCAGTCCTTTATTGCATTCAAATGTGCATGTTTCTGCGAGTTAAGTGTTTTTATACATTTGCGTGTGTATATGTGAAAGTGTATTCTGAAATTCAAGATGTGTCTCTGAAAGCATTCATTCACTCCATCATCCACCCAGTGAATATTCGATACTCTGCAGGCACTGGTTTAGCACTCGGGATGCATCAATGAACAAATGATGACTCCTGCCCTGGTAGAGCTTACATTGCAGTGGGAAGAGACAGGCAATGAATAAGAATGTAGTAAGTAAATGAGGAAACATGTTCAAAAGGGATGAGTACCATAGGAAACAACCAGAGCGGGGTAAGGAAGAAGTGGGCGTGTGGGCATGTGCAGAGGTCACTTCACTGACAAGGGGACATTTGAGCAAAGGCTTGACAGAGGCGGGGCAGTGAACTATGCAGATCCATGGAGGGAGCCTCCAGGCATAGGCACAGGTTGTGCAAAGGCCCTGGGGCAGGAACACCCTGGTGTGCTTGAAGCACAGCAAAGAGGCCTGTGTGGCTGTGGCCATGGGAGAATGAGCGAGTGGAAGGGGAGAGGGGCTAAAGTGGAAAGGCAGCCAGGATCAAGCAGAGCAAGGACTTTGGCTCCTTATCGGTGGGTGTAGATTTTGATGGATAATGCTGTTTCTGGAGTATCAATGCATGTAATTCTGAACAAGAGTGTGTGTGCGTGTGTGTTCTGTCACTTGCTCTCAAGTTGAGCTCAAAGCCCATTATCTTACACTGAGTCCTGTTTTCCGGCCCCAGTGGTTTTTCCTTTAGAAACCACATGTGGGGAGCCCGGAGCCAAGGCTCGCCCACCCGCGCCCAGCGCGGTGCTCCTCCTCCCCGGCAACAGGAGGGCAGACGCACCGGTGCTTCCGCTGAGAGCCGAGCAGCCACCCGTGCCGTCCCCTACTCACTTAGTCTTGATTTCCAAGTCATCATGGCTCGAGTGGCACATCTCACTGAATCGGGACACAAAGAAGTCATAGCTCCGATGGTAGGATGGGGTGTCCTCCTCGATGTTGGCGAACTTCACAAACTGTCAGGGAGGAAGGAGGAGCACCGAGAGGTGACCGCCGCGCTCCTCACTTCTGAGCACCCCGGCCCCAGCTGTGGCGAAGCCATGGGAGCCACGCACCCCGGACGGCTCCGTCTGCCTCCCAGGGCACACCAGAGACCCGAGTTCCCAGCCCTGCTTCCCTCCCCGTCTACGACGCGGGACTGCAAACCGTGGCCCTGCTCGGGCCTTCCCCGCTGGGGGAGCAGAGGACGGAAGAGACGGGAAGACGAAGGGGCTCAGTGAGGGCCCGCTCTCCCCACTCCATGCAGAGCTGCGGAAACACGCGGGCTGGAAGGCTGCTGGGAATAACGTGGACCCCGAGTGAAAGCCAGTGTCAAAGCACTCGGCACCACCCTAGAATGAATTCCGGGGCCCAAGAACAAGTTTGAAATTTGATTTAAGGATGTAATTACATTTCATTGTTAAAACTTGGAGTAAATTTTTTAGTTTTGCCATTTCAGTTCAGTAAGTCTTTTTTTTTTTTTTTCTTTGTTGAGACAGAGTCTCTCTTTGTTGCCCAGGCTAGAGTGAGTGCCGTGGCGTCAGCCTAGCTCACAGCAACCTTAAACTCCTGGGCTCAAGCAATCCTCCTGCCTCAGCCTCCCAAGTAGCTGGGACTACAGGCATGCGCCACCATGCCCGGCTAATTTTTTCTATATATATTAGTTGGCCAATTAATTTCTTTCTATTTATAGTAGAGACGGGGTCTCCCTCTTGCTCAGGCTGGTTTCGAACTCCTGACCTCGAGCAATCTGCCCACCTCGGCCTCCCAGAGAGCTAGGATTACAGGCGTGAGCCACCGCGCCCGGCCAGTTCAGTAAGTCTTGATCAGCATTCTCAGCTGCTAGATTCCTTCTGCGTAACTGTGCCGCGCATCTGCAATTCTAAATAGGACTTAATTTCAACTGAGTCCTGCAGAGAAGCAAGAATCACAGACTAACTGGGGTTAAATTACTAAAAATTCAATATAATTCTTATAGGTTATTTTGTTTAACGTTATAAACTTAGTATCCCAAACAACACTAAAAAGATCAGCTTTACAGTAAAATATATTCCCCATTATTATGCCTTGAATTTTTTGCAAACAATTGCTGGTTCAAAAAAGATATACTATTTTTCATAAAAATATCTAGTTAGTGTAGTCTCATACTATTATTCAGTATTGTCAATCTATGTCCCTATTTAACTACTTAATAGTTGTTAATAACTTTTTATGGATTAAAATTAGTCCACAAACATCATTAATTATGGCACTGTTTTGTTCTTACGTTAAAAACATGGTTATTTTCTGTCAACTGATAGAATCTCAACATACAAAGCAGATAGGGAGATCGTACTTTGCAAGCTGTATCTAAATCAAACACAATCAAGCAATTCTGTCTTTTTTGAGCAATATTTTTTGATTAAAAGTTTAAAAAAATCTAGCAAAAAGATAAATAAAAGGCATACATAGATTTGGGAGTGAACATTCTGTAAAATGGGCACATTTTACAGAACCCGTGTCGCAGGTGCTCACCAGGATTAAATGAGGGGACATACGCAGAGTGACCCAGGCGTGCTCAGGAAGCAGCGCCACAGCAGTCGTGGTGACAGTGGTTGTTTATGGTCAGTCCCATGCACTCTGGGCAGGGCTCGGATGTGGTTTGAGCCTTGTCCTTTTCATGGTGCCAACGTGGGCCCAGCCAAGAGCCCAGATGGGCAGCGCGGACCATGCAGGCAACGCACCTCAAGTGCAAAGCACTTGAAGGAAATGAGTTCCAGGCACGGGGGGAGGGGTGGGGGCGGAGGGCAGTGAGAGCTGGAAGGTGACAGCCAAGCACCCTGAGCACCATCCAGGGACTGGGGGGCCCGGTGCCCCAGGCCCGGGGCGGGAGGAGGGCCGAGGAGGGGAGCTCCCACTGCCACTGCCGCCGCAGGACTAGGAAGGAGGGGCTGAACACCGCCTTCCTTTCCTTTACATGGCACCTGTCACCTCCTAGCCACGTGACTGAAGTAGAGAAGCTTCAGAAAAGCTCCCTGAGCTCCAGGAATATGAGGAACTGCGTGGATCGAGGCATATTATTAGTGAGGTTCTGATTCTAAGAAGGTTAAACTTTTATGGCCCCTCAGGATTGAGCACTGAGCAAACCGTGTCGCCAGGCGACACACAAATACCTTGTAAACAGCACTGAAAGCAGCATTCTACTCTCAACACGCCCACACTCCGTGCGCCACGCCTTCCCATCCAACCCGCTGGATCGGAAAAACAGATTTCATATATGGTCATAAGAAAGTTTGTTCCCTGCCGTGTTCTGTTGGAAGTCTGCAGAATATCTAAAAGGCACCAAAAGGCACGAGTTCTTGAAGAGGCTATTCATAGACACAGGAGTTTTCATCAGGAACGGACGCACCGGCCCAGTTAATACCTATATTCTAAGTAATGACAACATTAAACGTTTCTACGGCACTTGCAGCTTCTACTTCTGGGCTGGCTGGCTGTGACAGCGTTATCTCCGCCTTGGTCTTCATGCCATCTCCTGTCTGTCAAACCTCTCTCTGCCCGGCTCTTATACAACGCTTGTGATTGCGTTTGGGACCACCAGGCTAATCCAGGATACTCTCCCAATCTCAAGATCCTTAACTTAATCACACCTATATCGACCCTGTTTCCATACAAGGTAATATTCACAGGTTCCATGGATTAGGGTGTAGACATCTTTTGGGGCACTGTTTTTCAGCCTCTGAGAACATCCATTCTCATATAATTTTCAGCAAACGAGTGAGTTTAGCAGGACATATATTGCTCCCATTGTAAAGATGAGGAAACTGAGGCTTTAAGGGAGCAAGTGAATTATTTGAAATCTCTTAGCTTGTGACAGGTGGAGCTGGGCCTTAGACTTGGTAATTCTGACACTGGGTTCCCTGCTCTTTGCTCTTCACATTTTAACATGCACCAGAACTACCTGGGGAGCTTGTTAAAAATGTAGATTTCTGAGCCACCCTGGGCCTACTGAACAGACTCTCTGGGGGTAGGGCTTGGGTATCTGCATTTTTAAGTCCTGGAGAGTCTGGGGCAAGGCGTCCTTTGCCCCAGGGTAAGCTGGTCCAGTAGCTATGGAAATGTTCTGAGGCCCAGCTGGGGGAAAGAAAGCTTTGGCAGAACCTTGGGAAAACCTAGGGAAGCGTGTCCTTGGTAATGGAGGTCGGCCAAGCCTGGGTAGATAGACCTCCTTGGAAGGGGAGAACTGGAGTGGTTCAGGATTGGCCAAGGGTTGGATGGATGACCTAGTGTGGCTCCATCTCTGGAAGACACTATGTCCCCTCTGGAGGCCAGGACTGTCTGGGAGGCTGCAGCTGTGAGGCTTGGGCTGCTGCCCATTCATCCCCAGGACTGCTGCTCTGCCCTGGGGGCTAGTGAGATTGCACTTAATGCCAGTCCTGGACCTCCCATGCAGAGGGTGAGCGCCCCATGTATAATGTTATGGGTGGCAACAGGGCTATCTAATAAAATAAGCACCTTTATGGTACTAGGATCAATGAGCATCCTTTTTATGTTGGTGGTGGTATAAATTTATGGGGCGCATGAGAAATTTTGTTGTAAGTATATACCGTGTAGTGATCGAGTTGGGTTATTTAAGTTGTGCATCACCCAAGTATAATACATTTTTGTTAAGCACAGTGACCCTACTCTGCTATCAAACACTGAAATTATTCCTTCTGTCTTGCTGTGTGTTTGTACCCCTTAACCCACTTCTCTTCAGTGCCCTGCCCACCTCCCTGCTCACCCTTCCCAGCCTCTGTTACCTCTTCTTCCACTCTCTACCTGCATGTGTTTACATTTTCTAGCTTCCACACATACGTGACAACACGTGACACTTGTCTTTTTGTGCCTGGCTTATTTCACTTAAGGTAACTCCATCCTCGTTGCAGCAAATGACAGGATTTCATTCCTTTTTTATGGCTGGGTTTGATAGCTTGACAGGAGCAGCGTCCTTCCCTGAGTCTGCGAGCGCGAATGCACAGACACAGCCACCCAGCCAGATGGCCTGTCAGGGAGCAGCGGCCTGCGGTGTCCCTGTGGGGTGGTTCCTGGAGAGCCGGCTCCATGCCGCTCCCGAATCTCCCAGGGGTTGGCATGAGGGGGCCAAACTTGGGATTTTGGTGACGGTGACTCAGAGGGTCGGATGGGTGCTTCATGGGGCCCTGGTTACGGACCACACCCACTGGGGAAGTCCACCTGGGAACTGTGCCAAACCTGGCTGAGATGGGGTTGGGCTTTACCGTGAGTGAGGCCTTCATCCCTCTTATGAGAGGCAGTGTAGTGTCGCGATATGAGAAGGTGTTGGGAGCCAGACTGCATATTTGAATCCCACCTCCCCCACTTATTAGTAGGGTGACTTGGGCCAAGTTACTTAAGCTCCCTGTGCCTCAGCTGCCCCATCTGTAAAATGGGGATAACACAAGTATTTGCCTTATAGGCTTAGTATGACCAGAACTCCACCTGCCCTGCCTATCACACTTAACAGCCACCTCCTCCTTTCTTTTCCCACCACATTTTTGGCTTGCTGTCCACACGCTGTGAGTTTTCACTGGGCTCATTTACCCAGTGAATTCCTGCACTCAAGCAATCCTCCTGCCTCAGCTTTTCCAGTATCTGGGACTATAGGTGCAAGCCACCACACTCAGGTCACTATTTTTTAAATGCACGACACAGCAGGAACATCCTGTCTGCCTCACCCCTACCATTGCTAATAATTCATACATTATAAATGGCTTTTATCAAAATGCTAATTGCCTAATGCACAAGATCATGAAAAAATAAAGTTGGAATTTTTGTTTTATTTTTTAAGATATAGCCACATGAGGAAGGTTTCCATAGCAACAAATCGAAGATTCTGAACATGTGACATTTCAAAGGGCAGGGGCATTGCTAGGGTCACCCTTTCAAGATCAAAGTGCCAGCTCTTTATACATAACAAAGGGTGGCAAGTTTGCTGGAG